GAAAAACTGGATTTTGTGACAGTTTCCTGACACTTGTTTTATCATGTTTTAAACAGCTGTAACATCAAAACATCTGTGACATGATGATAAGCATTTTTTTCCAAAGTTTTATAAAGTGTGTGCAGCTCACACACCGAGAATGATTCAGTAGAAAAACTACTCTAACTTTGATTTGTAACGTCTGCAACTAAGCACGCACTTCTATATATCAAGTGGTAAGTAAGTCGTCTCAATTTAAAACAATTTATTTTAAGGGTTTTGAAATCTGCAGGGTATAAATCATTCACTAACTTCTTTTAAGCAGAACCTCCAAAGTAAATCCAGTGAAATTTATTGCACCCTATTTTCACATCGTAAGAATAACCATCTGTGATATTTGCTATCTAAACTTACTGAGTTTTAAAGTAAATCCAATTTATTCTTCCAATTTAAGTCTCAATGCATTTCAATAAAAGTATTATAATATAAAGTGAGGGCTTAGTGAATCTCCCCTTCAATAAATTCAAGATCTCGATAGCAAACAAAACCGCGAGAGCTTTTCTTTTTATATCAAATATATTTACATCAAAGTATCTAGCAATATAACAAATTAAAAGTTAATTCCTCCATTTTATGGGACAGGATTTTCAATACCGGACACCAATTGACATAAACGTTTCTTTATTCCTAATTTATTGTTTGGAGAAGTATTTACGTTCATTACCCATTAAGATTCACACATGAAAGCTTAGTTTCCCAGGTACAAGAAGAACACATGAAAATAACATGAATAAAGTTTTCAGTCGCATTTATTTTTTTCTTATAGTAAACATATTCTAAAGGAGTGTGTAAAAGATTTTTTTTTTATCAAAGATGATTTTACTGCACGACCGCCATCTTGGATTAGAATGCGTTATTCAAATCTTATTTGATGATTAAAATGTTTTATTTAATACCAAAACTAGTGATCAATATGCTGTGCTATGTGGAGTTTAGAAGACACGCAATTATACAAAAATCTAATAAGCTAATAATTTTACCACAAGAGCTTGGTTATATTCCTAAAATAAGTAATATAATAATGGATATGAAATATTTAAAATGGAATATATTCAGTGTAAGACTATAGAAAAAAATATGGCAAAAGTTAATAGATGTAGAAGTGCAGAAATGACTTTACCTCAGCCAATTATACAACCACTGAGTATCGAACTTGTACGGCGCATGTGCGGAGCCGACACTGATTCTCCTAGCTTCCGGTGCAGATCAAGTGAGTCTCCAGATGTACCTTTTTTCTTTCTTTTTTTAGATTATAATATCTATAATTTACCATTTGAGCTATTTAAAAACTCGAACTTTTTTCCGCGGTTAGAATAATAAAAGATTATAAAATCATGAAAAAAACCTGATGCTCTCTCCTATGTAGTCAAACCACGGAGGTAATTAAGATCCGTGGTCAAACTGAACACTTTATATAATACCGTGCTCATAAGTCAATAATCTTAAGAAATGTGACAGTGTTACACATTCAATACTAAAATTAATTTTAATCTTTTATTATTATTATTATTATTATTATTATTATTATTATTATTATTATTATTATTATTTCTTAACAAAAATAATAAAACGCTATATACGAGGGTTGATCAATAAATTCGTGGACACACTCCATAAATTGTTTTTTGGGGAAGGAAAGTTAATATAATTATATTTGACATTTATTCAATTATTTATCAATTTGATGTGTAAGTTTCAGATAAATAATCCATATATTTTATCCGAAATGACAGTTTTCAGAAATACATGTAAAGCTGATCGCCGCAGCTCATTTGCAACTTACGTTACGTCGTGACGTCGGCGTTACATCTTCTCAAAAACAATGCAGCACCAACTTCTACACATCGTTCATGCCTGTGTACCCACTGACTGAAAATGTTCTTATACAATGAAGTATCAAATGAACGCAACACAGCCAATGCTATGGACTGCAAATCATGGAACCCGGTTAACTTGTGTCCCTTTAACTCTGCCTTCAATTTCACTCGCATAACGTTCGCATCGCAACAAGTTTTAATTGGTCTGCCGCATCTCTTATCATCCTGAAGTTCTTCTCTACCCTCACAGAAGTGTATGTGTCACTTATAAACTAAGGAATAAGACACTTTTTTTGTTCCAGATACAATTTCCATGTTTTCTTTAGTTTGTTTTGGCGTCATACCATGATTTACACAGACCTTAATAACTGCCCTCTGCTCCAACAACGTCGTGCTCCTCTCTGGTGACACACCCCTGTCTCCATTAACATCTCGAAATAGTAGCGACGCTTGTTTTTTTAAATGTTCTATAAACGATATGAAGGAACGTTGCTGTCAATTTCATATTTTAAAGAAGTAGCCAAAATAAGGACAATTTTTAAGTATTTCAAAATGATAAATATAACTTGTTTTTGAGCTGCGGCGTTCGAACGGTATAGGGTTGCTATGGCGATACATATAATGAACAAAATGAGTTTTGTTTTTAAAAAATCACAATATATTTGAATAGTATTAAATTCTTCTCCTAAATAGCAAAAAATCTTTATAATATCTTGATTAATTATTAAGTTATTAATAGTGTCCATGAATATATTGATCAACCCTCGTATACTGTAGAGATAAATGCCTTGACATTATATATCCCGTGTTACCGTTAAAAAAGAAGTCATGGGTCCGCAATGGCTGTTCTCTCTGCATCCTTTCACATGAAATTAAGTGTAAGATCTATGTAAAAACTTATAATAGCGTAAACATATGCTAATCACAGATAATAAAGTGTTCTCAATGGATTAACTTGACATAGTTTGACAGTTTAACGTACAGATGTAGATATGCACTTGGTTTCAGAATAAAAACCCTTTTGAGAGGTTTGTAGAACTCAAATTTGATTGGCTGTAACAATTTTTTAACGAAGATGTCTCGATTCTAAAACCGTCATTTTTCTTTCCTTTTCTTTTTTCTTTTTATTTTATTCATTTTTTGTGAACCACTGACAACTGATCAGTGTCAAAGATCCTGACAATATTCTGAACAAAATTTTATATGCTAACAATTGTCCCGTGTCTGGTTCTCACACTCGCATTTTCCCGGCTTTTCCCCTTATTACATATTGATAATAGCCAATGTTCCGATTGTGTTTCCAAGCCAATGAAAAGCAAGTTCGTGTCCAGTTTGGAACTCGTTCATGTTTCTTTATATATTCTGGGACAAAACAAAAATAAAACAACAACAACAACAACAAACATTTTTGTCCCAGATATATTTTACTATCATTTTTAGTCCATGAAAAAGATCCAGTAATGATCGAATTAAGTTGAAAGAACATGACTTTTAAGTATAGGTTAGAGTGCATATTGGGTGTTCTTCGTAAATAAGAATTTACGAAGAACATCCAATATGCACTCTAACCGGCTTAGTGCTCCGCCCAATTTTTTTCCGCCCAACACACTGCGTGACGTCACACGATAGCCTAAATGTGTATAACCATATTTGGAAGAGGTAGCGGTACACATTTTCGGGTCACGTGTTTTGCATAGCTTATTCCCGCATTCTGTCTAGGTAAATCAGACAATATCACGGTGCATATCCATATCGGTACCCTCTTTGCGAAATATTCTCAAACGGTACCCTCTTTGAACATACACAGGTCATTCTCTGCTAAAAACAAATCAGCGATGGATAACAATGCAGTAAAAATTCATTGTAATAAGAAAAGGAGGTATGACCACGGAACGCTAGAATGTTTTATTTATGTGCTGATTTGTCATGTGCCCGATTTTCAAGTACGGCAACTTCACAATAAGCTACAAAATGTCGACATGTCTTGCCTCGCCCGTCACCTCGACATATTTTTCGGGCTGAAATGAACCTGTAGCTTGATTATATATGCAGCATACATATTTATTATGTTCATATACATATCATCTTCGGACAAATGGCAGTATATTGTCAAAAATAAATGTAAAATTAATAAAAACACCCTACTTTCGGTTTTGCAGCGGCACGGGCTGTAATATTTACATAAAAAATAAGAAATATTACATACATACTTTGTTGGAATAAGTGAACTTTTTATTTGGAAATTATAAAATGATACTGGTTCCGTAAGTTATAAAACAGTTTTACTGTTATTTCGCCTGTTTTCATTTAAATGAACCTCTTTTTTTAATTCTATGCCGTAGTGACGATATACATGTGCGTGTACGGAAAAACATGCATAAATATTGATTAGTAGGAGTAAACTTCAAGATCTCTGCACATGCGTATATTTCACTTTAGCGCTTTTCGAAACTTAGCTCCGCCCACTTGCGTTTTATAATATAAAACGTCCAGTTTATATAAAATCTGTTCTATTAAGATTTGAAACCTGAAAATTTGAAAAATCCTCGTCGGTGATTGGCTTAAAAAAATTGGCGAGCACTAAATTAAATTAAATACATTTTGCTTGCATAACACACATATTTTCATTGTCACCGTACGCATACACGTATCGAACATTCAACAGTTTACCATTGGTTATGCACACAGTAATTAAAACCATATTGAAATGTAAAATAAACTATAAAACTATCGAATTACTTAATGTATTGTGCCTGATTGTTCATTAAGTTTCTTTCATTTTTCATTATTTCTTTTTATAGAATGTCAATGAGCTAGGGTAGATTGCAATCGAACTTGTGTTTGTTCTTACACTGTGAAGGGTTTTCAATTCATTTAACATTCAATAGTTTGTAGAACACTTTATTAAAACTTTCCCTGACATTCTTATTTTTATCAATTTCTACGGATGTATGTGACTTTATAATGAACAAAAAATGTGAAGGTGCCTGATAAATATGTATCGATTTCTTGATTTAAAAAAAGAAAGACTGAACTGGATTTAATTCATCTGTATGTAAATCTTTTTAACTTTCCAAAACAATAAGTGTTACATGGTTGGAATGTAAGAACGAAATGCCATTGTACTAGTATCTGGTAACTAAGAAGACATTAACGGACCGGAAGGAAAATTAATGTATCATTTGAGAAAAATAAATGGTTGGATAAATTTCTATGAATGCGGAAAAAAAAACATCTAGAGATACGGGTGATTATAGTAAAAATGAAACAAAAATCGTAACTATTAAAAAAGTGAGGGTGTAAAGTGGAATAGAGTATGTGTATGCTATTGTAGCAACAGCCAACTTTGAATATAGCATTTATGAAATAAAAAGTAAAGATAAACAGCTACCTGTAAAATAGCAATGACTTTGTTCGAAGCTCGTGCAGTTTCGGCTCATTCTGGGTTTCCGAAAAGAGAAATAGAAATTCAGCAACTGTTTCGTGAACGCTCAGATTCGCTACCGGAAGCACGTAACTTCCGGCGTATTCGCCGTGCACTTGACCTAGATTCAGACCTTGATGTCCAATCCCGAGACGAAAATGCATTTTTCAGGTCCGTTGAGGCCAGACAGTGGAAATCAAAGCGTGTTACGCATAAACAATTAGAGAGAGCAAAGCAAGGACCCGACGGAGAGGTGTTGCTTATATCCACAGAGCCAATTGGCTCCCCCTCGGCTGAACGGGATATAGCAAGCTCCCCAACAGCTTTAACCAATGTCCCGTGGACAAATTGGACGCGGTGGAATTATAAACGCAGTAAGTTTTGAATGTAACAAATTTTTACCAGTGTGCAAGTGAAGGAAAAAGATGATGTTTTTTTTTAGTATTTTCTCATAGATGAGATAAACTTTTTATTATCGCGACTTCTGATTTAGATATTTGTCTTCATTATCCCAAGTCATGATCATAAACATCGCTGATATTTTATTCAATAAGAAAAACTATTATGTCAGTTTGAGCTATACGCAAGTTTGGTGTACTACTGTTATAGTGCTTAAGGTTTATTTATTCGGCATTTAATGGTGCAGATTTTCCGCCAATCAGACAATAATTGACTTCGAGTGTATATGGGTTATCTTTGCCCCTTTAAAATACTTAAATATCAAATTTCTTGGTCAATGTTTTGTTTTGTTTCAGCATTTTCTTTCAACAATAAATCAAGATATTGCTGTTAAACTAATAAGTATTCACTGAAAATATTCCCTTCAATTTTAAACATTTCTCCGATGTCATAACTTTTGGTCAGTGCAAAAGACCCATAACTTTAGTATGACATATTTTTATCAAATTATATCCCATTGTTAACTAAAAAAACATACACGACTCCTTTAACTGTCAAGCACCGAGAATAGTAAAGCTTTATGTCCCTATCCACGATAAATATCTGCTTTCAACCTGGACAAAACCATGATCAGACAGCGCAGATTCGGCGGCTTGACTGCGCTGGTCACATGGGCAGTCAGAATGATAACTATGGGGGTTTTTACACCAATTTACGACACGTTGTTATTAAAGACACTTGAAATATTTTTATCGGCCGCCAACGATGTCTAAATTAATGCTAACCACAGTAGTACGTTTATCTATTAGTCTCTATATCGATACCTTTATTAATATATTGTAAGAATCAATCAATAATAGGGGGTATATTAAATAAAACAAAAGACGTATACCAATGTGCATGTATATAGTAACTCTATGGCTACATTATAGTATGGCGATAAACATTATGTATACTTCGATATTTTGGAATTTTAAAGTTTAAATATGTCGTGTTAAAGGAAAAATAAAGAATGGATTTTAAATATCTTTTTGAAAAAGAAAAACTGGAGATAGAATCTCGGAGACATACTAGTACAAGATATACGTTTTCTCGAGGGATTACAACACGATGTATGTATATATTTATTTTTAAAGACAATATTATGAAGAAATATCAATCAATTGATCGATCGATCGATCGATCGATCAATCAATCAATCAATCAATCAACCAGTCAGTCATTCATTCATTCATTCATTCATTCACTCACTCACTCATTCAATCAATCAATCAATCCATCAATCAACCAATCAGTTCAAAGGGGAGCGGTGACCTAATTGTTATTTTTGTGTCCAATTGTATCCCTCAACACATTCTGAGTCGTGTTTACGAGCTCTGTCTTGGTCTCCAATGACAAATGCGCCGTTTACTTCATAAAATGACGACGACAACAACAACAACAACAATAATAATAATGATGATGATGATGATAAAAAAGACTTGATTTTAAGAGGCTTGTTACTTACAAGGCAAACATGTTACATAATAAAGCTTCCTTAATTATTTTTAGACTAATCTGATTAATCAATCATTCGGATCAATCATTATTCCAATCAGTAGTTTTATACTTTCGTTCGTCTGTCCGTTCGTCAATTCCAGTATTTGTCAATGTTACATTTGTCAATGTTAATGTCAAACTACTAATCAATGCGTATGTTAATGTTCCATTCAGATAGACATTCGGGTGACAGTTTTGTCAGTGGAAGTATCAAGGTCAAGATGGTAATCTAGTTTTCGTTGAATAGCACTAATTGCAACTTTATTATAGGAAGAAGCGAAGGTCTTTTCACTTAAGGTGTAATTCTATCCTGCCATTTAATGTACCTGAATTATTTGAATGTTGTATTAAAATAATGATTTTAATTTTATAAGTTATAAATTGTATGGACTAGATCAAAGTTTGTCAACAGAAGCTCTACGGTTTTCGGCAAATGTTGTAATACAGCCCATAGTCAAACAAAACCTTATCCGAAAATCAACATTTACAGAATAAATCTGGACGTTTTAATCTTAAGGATATACATATAATTGTGATTAAATGGAAAGTTTGCCAGATTACAATAATATGGATAGGATTAACTTGAAAATTATGTAAAATTGTGTCCAGGTTTATCTCAAATTTAAATATGGATAGTTGCTCTATGACGGGGTATAAGCACTTAGAATTCTGAAGTTTTTCAGTGTTTTATCATATGCTTTAATCAGTTCGTTTACAATACATCAGTAGACAAACTTGGACATGTGACAGTGTCTTGCATATACAATATTTATAAATAAAAGGAACATTTTTTATTATTTTATCTTATTCCTTGGCTGTTGTAAGAGATTTAAATGAAACAGTGCGGTTTGCTTTGGATAAACAAAATGTAATAGTAAATGGTTCGAATGTGTATGGGATATGTGCATTAATTTGATTAAGTGATCCTGGTTTTAATAAAAGTCAGTCATTACTGGTTAGGATAAAATTAAGTTAGGATAATGCATTCTGCACCAGCAGGCACAACTAAAATACGATTTTCTCAGTCGACGGTGAGAAAATCCGAGAGTAAGGAAAACGAAATCGACGGTAAGATTTCTTTGAAATGATACATGTACATGTATAGATCTAATAAAAACCCGACCAAATTGTCTTATTTTATAAGTTAAAATTTATTAAGTGACTTATAATCGTAAACCCTACATTGTATAAACCGATTCCATATTAGGAAAAAATGAGGCAATTCAAGGTGAATTATTTAGCATCTAACGTAAACGCGTCATTTAAATAAATAGAGGATATTCAAGTTTTTTTCTACAAATACATGATTTATTTTCATCGAGTGGTATGAAAATAAATATTTCATGAATGGTGATAGGTCATAGTGAAATATGATAATTTTCATGCCAGAAGATGAAAATAAATCATGTATTTACAGAAAATCTTGAATTTTCTGTTTATAATATACATTTGTCTCTTCTTGACATTATAATTTGAAAGATTTTCCCTTAAATTTTTGTATGCTGGCAGAATTTGAAAGAAAGTAGTCAAGCAAGACACCAGTGAAAATACGGAAAATATGTTTCACTGCAGTGAAAAATAAATTTTTACAGTGAAAATACGGAAAATGACAATAAGCATTTTATTTCATCAATATTTGTCAATATTTCATTAGAAGTATATAATAAACTAGTCTGTACAATTAGTAAGTGTCATTGCTTATTTAACAAATAAATTTGTAGGTTTATTGCACGGTGTCGTTACTCGACTCATTAGAACCTAGTAATATTAGATATTCCAGGAAAGAAGTTGTATCCAATATCTAGTGATGTATTAAACCAATAATATGAATATTATATTTTCCTGAAAAATCAATGTATATTAGATCTAGCTTCGATTCGTAATTTTAATTATGTTAACTTTAGTTATTTGGATATTAGTCATTCTATCAATTTATGAGATAATACATGAGTTTCATGTTAGCCATTTGTAAACTTGTGTGGATTTTCGTTGGAATATTGTAGATCTTGTTTTGTTCACATTAATGCTCATAACTTTTAACCGTGGAAAATGAATTTACTTTTTAAATGCGATATGTTAATTATCCTTTAATTCGTATTGTTTAATGTTATTCCAAACTGTATCGATCTATTAATTCTGTTAAGAAACGAGAAATACCTTATCCGCCATGAATGATTCATTTTCATAGTGCTTGCTTGATTCACTATACTTTAAATTATTCAATCATTCTATTTTGAAGAAATTTGTCAGATACATTAAAGTTACTTTGATGTTTTAAATTGTCCTGTTATTTTCTTTTGACAAGACATTGTGACAAAAAAACATAAATGTTCCAACAAATAAGAAATAACATTAAATATAACTGTACTGTACCCCCTATCTTTGACAGAATATCACAACTTCTGTGTACTCTGTATTCTTATAGAAACATTCCAGAGATAAAAGGAGACAACCACTTAATAAATATTATGTCTTTGAAATGTTGAACTCAAAATTCGGCTCACATACTTAACATGTTCAAAATGCTGTTTTTCCCCACTCCTATAGATAAAACATATACAAACTCAATTTCTTTCCCCTGTACTGTAAATAAATCTACAACATTTTATTCTGACATTTATTTACATGACACTCAGAAATACTTTTTTTAAACCTGCAATTTTCTTTACTTTTTTTCCAACAACTCATGCCTTTTAAAGTGAGAAAATTTCAGCAAAGTTACCTAGTCAAAATGTTCTTACATGCCAAAGCTAGATTCTGAGATATTTTTGTTCTGGGGCAGAATTTTGCTTCTTGTAGAGGGGACATATTGTCCATACACAAAATTGTACAATATCTCATTACATAGTACAATTAGTTGGGACTACAAAGATACCATAAGAAAAATTGGTAAAATTTAAAGACCTTGTTATGACTAATATTTTTAATTGTTATGTACAATTTTAGTTTGTTATATTTCTTTTTATTATAAAAAAACATATTTTATGCCTGAAAGTTCAGCTGGTTGTTGGTAATCTTCACAATTATTGATACAATTTAAGAATAAAGTGTGTAATTTTAGCATTTTGGAAATCATCTGTCCAATATTCATCTTCAATGTTATGCAAGAGAAAAAAAAATGACTGAAAAATTTAAGATGTGAGTTTTTATTTGATACTTGTGTGTAATAAGTTTGGCAAACATATTCCATGTAAGCGATTAGTGTTGTGTCTAATCTGTATATGATTCTATAAAGTTGTATAAAACAGGCTTTAAAAGCTTACAGCTACTTCAACTTTGCTATATATCAGATAATACATTAAAGCTGTTCTCAGATAAGCTGAATAATAAATTGAATTAACTTTTTAAGTGCTTGTATCGATTATCACAAACTTGAATATCACCAGTATACTGCAAGGCTAATTTGCCTCTTTTAAGCAGTTTGCTTTGAGTAGACCTGATAATGTCAGCTGATCATTTTTTATTTTATTTTAGTTCTTTTAATGTTTTATAATTTTGGCCAAGCTTTCCTTTAACTTCAGTTAAGACACATGTATAAAAACTGAGCAAGTGCATAACAAAATAAATCTAGTGGGTACAGTTCACAATGTTTTTTTTTTTTAATTTTGTTTAAAACAAGTTGGGCTTTCTGAAGGGGAAAACCTTAAAGCAAATCCCAACAACTATGAATGAAATTTACCCATACATTTTGTAAAATTTTCAATTTTTATTCAATCTAACATACATTGTACATAGCAGAGGCTATCTATAGGGACCACTTTTTGTCTTTCAGTCAATTAGAATCAAATAGTTGATATAAGTCAGCTGCTTTAAAGCCATGGTTCAGGCAAAGAAAGTGCACAGGGCATTTCAGGGGAAAATATAGCATTTTTAGGGGAAAACATACCTATTTTGGTCTTTATTCGGCTGTAAAATATGGGGGAAAAATCACAGGTGAACTTAATCTTGTGTAATTTTATTAAAACTTATTTGTTTTATATTGTTTATATTTGCAGCTCTAGAGATCACTGGTGAGAATTTAGAAGATTTGTTGGCATATGATGACCTCTTCCTCGACTATTTTAATGCATTTCTTGCACTGCCAGTAAGTATTAAACCTATATGTATGCTAGATATAAAAAATACCATAGTGACCTGTTAAGGTGTAGAGCCAGGCCAGCCCCTACATCCTTGCAGTCTGACCTAACTCTGTACTGCTGTCTGATTACATTTAGTATTTATAAACTATTTATAAAGTTTGAACAATTGCTTAAAATTCAAAGCAAAGCAAATTCATTACAAAAGAAAAGCCTTGACAGGGTTACATAATTGTAAATAATTAGAAGTAATTCCTGTTGTAATTTATTGTCCATGGTATGACCCAGGAAGGCAATAACTTATTGTTTTTCCCAGGTGTGTCTCCTAAAGAAATATGTTAACATATACTTTTAATTGTAAAGCTGTAACCATTTAAACCATGTACCACGCTGTAAACCATTTGAGCCGCGTCATGACAAAGCCAACATAATGGGTTTGCGACCAGCATGGATCCAGACCAGCCTGAGCATCCGAGCAGTCTGATCAGGATCCATGCTGTTCGCTATCAAGTGCTCTACTTGCTATAGACTTTGAAAGCGAACAGCATGGATCCTGATTAGACTGCGCGGCCATGGTCTCATTTAATGTTGAAGAAATGGCCTCTTTGAAATGAGTGGTTAAGGTCACTGACCGTTGACTCAACTACCTCCTCACCTCTGTGGGTTTGAATCTGACCAGGAAGATTTAATTCTTCCATTACAGCTTGGCTATTGAAGATTTATGGTTTTATTAGTTCTTAATTTGTGTAATGGATTTGTCCTGCTTGAATTTGGAACAGTCCATGCAATGTTTATGAGTTTTCAATGTCAAAATACATGTACAAAAAGTAAGCTATGTACAGTATAGAGCCTGGTCAGAGGGCACAAATGCCTGGCATTATACTGATGGCAAAGGCTAATCACTTTCAGGTTAAGCAGCTTGAAGAATAGGAGGGTTATTAACAATGAATTGTTGTGGAAACAAATATGTTAATTCACACAACACGTCTTTCATTTCATTGCAAAAAGAGTCAATAATGAGAGTGTTTACTTTTCCTGATTATTTTTACAAATTATTCAAACATTTCTAATTCCTTTTAGGATCTTGTTCAGAAATGGATCAATCATTAGTTTAACTAACTAGTTTAAGGTGACATAAATAACATATTTGAGCAGTGCATTGGTCTTTTCATACCTCTAGCTAAAATAATATATTAAGATGTTTATATTTTTGATTGACATTTATATTATAAACCAATTAAAGTACATGTATATACATATTTGTCGTAATTTTATATATACACGGTGTACATTTGACCTAAAATACTTGATATCGTGTGTATCGATCAATAATGTATTACAGTTAAGTTCATTCATTCTGATATTGTAAGAAATACAAAGTATTGAACTGTCTTATAGGTTTACATGTATGTATATTAAGAATTAATATGTGATCGTCTATATTAAATAATAAATTAACATTAACTTTTAATTTAATGGAATCAATTGAATCTGCTTATACTACCAGTGCAGTACAAGATAAGGCATGCCTGATCTGCTCCCTTACATTCAGTCAGAATATATTTTGAAACTTTCCCTTAAAATGATGAATGATTTTGTCCAGATTTTAAGATGAACAATTCCATTTAAGATATTTAGCATGGTAATGTTAATAAATTAACAAAAGAATTAAATACACTTTCCTCTTCTTGTGTAAACTTTGTTTCCCAATTCATTATTCTTATATATTTATTGAATTTACGGAAAGATTTGTACGTAAAGAAGTAAATATTTTTATTCTACAAATAGTGAAGTAAACTTTGTAAACCATTATGATTTTAAGAAGGGAAAAACTATGTTTAACTTTTCTTACTTACTTTTCTTTCTTAAACTGAATGGCAGACTTGCCACTTAAGAGTTAACGTAAATATTTGTAGACTTTGCCGTGGCGTTTTGAAAAGATCTAGCTACGTTATTAAACTAGTCACCAACTGTAGAGTTCAATTTTTTACCTATGAATGTAAAAATACTTTAGTAATTTAAACTGGCTGATAATTTAATGATTGGCAAATGTTAAAGTGTTTGTGTTCAATGTATGTATACTTGAACTAAAACCCTAAGTACTTTATTGTAGATTATTTTATATATCTTTAGATATTGTTCAACAACTCTTGTCAAAGATAAATGCAAAAATTAAAGATTTACTATCTTATTATGATAGTAAACCTAAAGTTATCAATACAAAATTTTCATGTCTCTTAAAAATCAATCTAACCTGTGAGAACTGGATTAAAATGTTGATTTTTTTATTGACTTTTTAAGATTTATTATAACTTTTTATTGCTGGGATTTTTTCTTGTAAGAATGACCTGACATTATATAGTTGTACTAAAAATGTGAGAAATTTTGTCGTAAAAATTTTGTTTCATCCAATAAACAATTTATTATGGCCTTATTCAATAGTTTGTTAGTTATTAAATGTCCAAAACTAAATACAAAATTAATGTATTAGTCAAGTTGTCAAGTGGTTAGTTGATGTACATGTTAGAAACATGAGTGGCAATATTGTGAAATAACCTGTGTAATTTTTTTTTTAAACTAAATATTCAGTAGTTTTATATCTAACAGCCTATCCTGTTCATGCATGTTATTATAGGAACTCTGTTGACGAAATTATCAGAATATAATAACTGTGAATAAGATGAACTTGAAAGCTCAGAACTACAAGACGTAGTCATTGCATATGCGCCAACATGATAAACTGAAAACTTTTTAATCTCTGAATATTTGAAATACAGTTCAGAAACAGATGTTCAACTTTTTCAATGATAATGACTTTCTTAGCTTTCATTTTTTGTGCAAGAAAACTTTAATTTTATACTACAATTCAGAATCGGTTGATTTACAACTTACTTTCAACTGTGTTACAGGTATTTCCACAAGTGTTACGTTACAACCGGCTAACAGGTGCCTTTGAAGAAGTTATATTAGACGACAGTAGTCGACCTACGTCAAAATATGACGGTAATTCAAGTCTACCATACGGTGTCACAGATGAGGAGAGGGATGCTATGTTACAATGGGCAAGAAAAGAAAGATTACCACTTTTCCTTAGGTACCAACATACGCTTTTCCATGTTTTAAAATTAGTCGTCAGTAGTCCTAATATGTTAGTGCTGTGCAGAAATATTACCATTAACAGTTACCATCAAGCACTGTACCGGCAGCAAGTTTAAGGTTCTTACATCCTATACTTTATACAATGTATCCACTTCCTGTAAAGCTTAAGTTGCAGAAGCCAAAACTTTATTTGAAGTACTATATCTTCACTGTGACTACAGTAATATTTTCATTTGTCTATTTTGCAACACTTACTTTAGAGTCAGAAAAGCTAAGAAAAAATATTAATTTCGACATGGATCTTAATGTAATATAAATCTCTGATTTCAACAACTTCTACTCACTATGAGTATTACCAGTACTTTTATTATCTTTCATTTTGAATCTGTGTTTTCCAAACTTTATTAAACTTTCCTAAAACAGTTTCTCTAATATTTTATTCTTAACTTTGTATGTTGTTTTTTCAGCACACAATTGTTTAGAGAATTCAAGTTATGTAAATTATTGCTACGACCATTAGATGATAGATATTGCTCAAGGTCGTGGTTCAACACAAAATAACGTCGGATTATACCGTCAAATCAAGAGAGTTAATGTATAGTCTAAGTAACAGTGCGGACAATAGTGCTAATGATGTAGATGATGAAGATTTTAATTTTGAAGGACATTTTAATGCCTCACAGTTGTTTAAATACCAGAGACCTGGTAGTCGTGCGTTAAGTGTTCCAGCACCTATATGCTATGGATATGGTGAGATTTTAATACCTATTTCAACAGAATAAGGCAGTAAAATTAGAATGCACATATACATTTATGATTTAATAAATGGTTTTAATTAAAGTTTGCATGTTACATTAAAATTAAATTATGCTAAAATATCAGTGAGTATTAAAAAGTGTTAACATAGAAGTAACTGACTGTTCTGATTTTATACCATGTTACAATGAGTACTTTATGACAAAATGGATTTGTGGATAAATGAAGTGTTTATATGAACTTGAAAATGTATTTCATAGTGTTCATTTATTGTATTTATGCTACATTTCTGTCAGTTAAATAGTTATACTATGGGCCTTGAATATTTCATTAACTTTGTTAATCTGTGCAACTTTTTTTTTTGAAAGCAAACCCAGAAACAAGTTTCAAGTACAAATTTAATGCAATAATCATATTCCTGTATTGTTATAACTCTTTATTTCAATATAGTTCTGAGTGTTTAATTTTGTTATAGCTGCAACATTAAAAGTTTACAAATTGATTCTAATTGTTATAAAAGTTTACAAATTTATAATAATTGTTATAAAAGTTTACAAATTTATTATAATTGTTATAAAAGTTTACAAATTTATTATAATTGTTATAAAAGTTAACACATTTATTATAATTGTTATAAAAGTTTACAAATTTATTATTATTGTTATAAAAGTTTACAAATTGGTTATAATTATAATAGATCCATATTATGATGAGGAACAAAGAGGAAGTACAACAACACATACACACGACACCTCTAAAACAGCTTCCATTAAATATAAATCTAAGTAAGTTACAGATTTTATTAATCTTTTTTTTTTTTTTTTTTTTTTATAATGTACAGAAATGAGACAAAAATATTGTTGCTTTGGAGATTTCGTCCAGAAAACAAATTCTTTGAAGATTGAGCTCAGAAATATTTTAAAACATTCAATTTGTCTGGTAGCTGGTACATTTTCTAGATATATTAAGAAGCTTGAGGCTCCTGTTTAACTTAATTTAATATGGGGTAATGTCAGTTATTATATCTCAAAATGGAAAATAAATAAATTATTTAACAATGATCATCATTATGTTACCTAAGTGTATCACTGTATATTATGTTATTACAGGAGGGATCGTGATGAAAATATGCCCGACCCTAATGATTTACAGTATAACACTACAGAAGATGATAATGCACCATTTCCAAGGGAGAGCACTGTTACATTTGATCCAGAAACTGGTGGGTTTCTTCTTATAATTTTCACTGTATAGTACTTTTTTATCAAAATAATGATTATTTGTAACATTTTATAAGTCATTCATTCTAAAAGAAGGTGACATACGATTTGTTATAGTCACTGACTTTCAATCACTTGCTTTCACTACTGTGGGTTTGAATCCCCTCCCTCAAGGGACTTAATGGAATCTTTCATGTGAGAAAGCTCTCTAACTAGCTTACAGAAGGTCAGTGGTTCTACTTAGGTGCCAGCTCGTGCCTGAAATGATTCATGGAGGGGGCACAGTATGATCTTTACAGTGTCTATGTGACTCAAAGGTACATATAATCATTTCCTTATAACTTACCACAACATCTTTGTTTAAGAAATGAATTTCTTTTAATTGCTTTTGAAATTTACTTTACATATTACCATTGTTTGTTCCTTCCAAAATATTCTTTGATGTTTTCACTTTACAGTAGTGTTATCAAATCAAAATAACATTGGTCCAGTCATACAAGTTTGTAAGTTGTGTTGTTATTGTTATTACAGCTGATCCAGAGAGTAAGTCATTACATAGTCACAGCAGACGGTCATCTAGAATGAGCCGGCGGTCAAAACGTGCGCCACAATCTGATGCTGAAGCTGCCTTCCTTAGACATGCAAGGTAACAGGGCTAATATAATTAATTTGACCCAATAGCCAGCTGGCAGCAACTAAATATACACAAGCCATCAGTGCAGACCACATCTGTGCCATTTCAATTTCCTTCTGTTTCTATTCCAGTTATTTCCTTATTTAATTCCTAAAAAAATACAAAACTGGTTTGACGCAGAATTAAAGATGACAAAGTCCCATTGGAGATATTAAGTGTTGAACAAGGTTAAATGTTAGAAGCAGGGTAGCAATCATTACATCAATGCATATTAGTAAACATTTTTGGTCAAAGTTCTGCTCATCTCTGAAAATCACATTGCAAACTTATTGTATGATATTATTTGTGCCCCCACTTTAGTGGCAAGGCATTTAGATTTTATCCTTGTCCTCCGTTCTCTTTTGTCGCACGTTAACTCAAAAAGATATTTGACCTAAGATTCAAGAAACTTTACAGGATAGTTGATCAGCATGTGTAGTTGTGCAACGCTGGGTATTTCGTCTGGATATTTTTAGTATTTTTAGAGTTACTTGCCCTTGGACTTTTAGTAAAATTTTGCAATTTTCAACTTGTGGTAGCATGTAACCTCAAAAAGGATTTGACATAGAGTCATTAAACTTACCTGAGGTTGCTCAGTATATTTAGTTTTGCACCTGGGTTTGCTTTGTGGATATTTTTTATCCCAGTATGTGGTAAGTTATTCCCTGACTTAGTAATAACGTTTCATTATTTGGTATTTGTCCTTGATGGCTGAGTTAGAATCAACCAACTTACGGAATATGATCCTCATCACTAAATTAATTATCAGGGAAAAATGATCACAAACCCCCCCCCCCCCCCCCCCCTCAACTGTGAAGCATGCACCTGGGACTTTGCAATTGGAATTTTTTTTCAGTTTGTTAGAGTATTGCCTTGACTACCAGTTATATGAGTTGCAATTTCAACTGTGTTCATCAAGCTCTAAAAGTATTTTGACTTGTAGCCTGAAAAGTTTCAAGAATGTCTGGTCAGCATTGTACTATGCACTCTTGGGTTGCTTGTGATTTATCAGTATTTGTAAAGTCTTGCCCTTTACTTAGTAAAAGATTTTTAGTTTTCAAAAAATTTTTGACCTAGAGTCATAAGACTGACAGAACAGTGGAGCGGTGGGGGCACCCGTTCTATATGGACACATTTCTAGTTTCAACCTAAAATTTACTAGTTTGTTATCATCAGTATCAAATGAAATAACTCCAAAACGTTTTTAATTTTTTTAGCAATTAAAGATTTAAAGTTTCTATATTCAAACAGCTGATTTTCTGACTGTTTATAAATACATGTATAAGAAATAAATAGGTATATTGTTAAGAAAAACTAAATTTATTTTCAGGGCATTATCTGCACCTATAAATTATGATGATTACATGCGTCACCCATATCGTGACTTTGACATGATGTTTGGTGAAGATGAGCCGGAACCCGATGGCAATGTTTATGTTACATTTGAGGATGAGGGAACCAGCGAGGCTCAGACTGAGACAGATGTTAAAAATCTTGAAGGTCGACTTAAAATGACCTTTCAACAACTCAAGGAACATATACTAGGATCAGTAAGTAGATGTTTAAAACTTATGAAGTTCAGTTCATGAACCTAGAACCGAGAGATGGCCTAGTGGTAAATGTCTCTCAACCTAGGGTAAATGGGTTTGAGCCTTACTTACATCACAATCATGGTTCTACATTAGACACCAGTACTGGTTAGTTGCTGGAAGAAGACTTAAGATATGGTTCAAATAATAGTTTTAAGCTGTAATCATAATTAAACTGTTAACACTGGCTCTCAGTTTGACTGTTCTTTATACTGAATGGTAAAATAGAAAAAGACATGGAATACATCTTTATTTTCCATCCATTAAAAGTCTAATATGGCATATATAAAATTTTGTCATATATTGTCACATTTTTTATCTAGTACAATGTATATTATGTAGCGTTTAGCTGAAATACCAGTTTTGTTGCTCTTTGTTTAACTGAGTCTTATAGATTCAATAAAATACTATAATGGTAAAGAAACATGTTAAATGAATGATCAAGATTCCAAATATTTACTAGCAACTTCTTCTAGAGCTTATCTGTCATGATGCTACACAAATTTTTAACTGTAAATTATTTGTATTGTACTTTGAATATGAGCCTGATTAGAATTCTGTAGTTTGCCGTAACAATCTTAATATAATTATGACATCTTATTGTAGTATTTCGGCATGGAAAATTTCAAGGAGTTTTTATCTGGTACTGCCGGGAAAGAGCTGGTCAACTTCTGGCTTGACTGTGAGTTCTTTAAGGATGTAATGGAGAAATATGATGAAGTAGCAATCATGGACACCAGAAATAGACTTTTTAGGTACATATTACGTTTGAAATACTCTGAAAATAACAGAATAAAGCAACCTGGTTTAACATCAAACATATGTCATCAAATAAGTTTAATCCAATGTGACAGTTTTGTAGAAGCAAATTGGGAAAGATGCTAGTGAAATTAATAAGTAATTTAATAACAAAAAAGGTAAAATTTTATTTTCTGAATAATCTAATATATACAGGCTTTTTCTATAGCATCATCATTGTTTTAATGGTCAAAGACAGTTCTTTCCTCCAATTGTGATTAAAATATTCCCATGCAGATTTTGGGTTGCAGGATGACATTGCCACTTCAGATGTCATTTAATTTAATTTGATTGTTTGAAAATGTACATCTTATTGTTGACATTTTCATCAATGTTTGCACTCAATTTTGTTTTCAGAGATATTCAGGATAAATTTAAGATACATTTAACAAAAGATGCTATAGAACAGATCTCAAAAGCTGCCAGCAATTCGAATCTCAGTCATTCTATTTTTATACGTACCCAGTACGATGTTCTACGTAGACTACGAGCTTACTGGGTCATTAGGTACATGCTTCATATGGAGAGAGAACAAAAAATTAGGTATGTGCGGTTTCTAGAATTGTGTTTTACACTTTCAAAACATTGTGCTCGATTCCACTTGGTGGACCGTCCACGACAAGTTGACAATCAAACAAAGAAACATATGTTTGACTATCCTCATTTCATTTTATTCAGGTGGAGTTATGATTACTGATGACAATGACAACAAAATTCAAGAAATATGTTCATGTAATTCGATAACAGCTTTAATGAGTGATAGAACTATTTTTCCTGATGTAGACTTAATAAAATGAACGTTAAGAGGTGATCATTACTAATGGTGATTTTGTTTTGTATATGATACGATATTCTGTAGAAATAAGATACTTTTTCATCATCAATTTAATATAGTCCACCTTTCTATTTATTAAACTGTAACATTTAGTTTCATCTTAATGGGCATTGTGCATTTTTTATATTCCCCAGCCAATCTCTAAGTCTCACAGATTCAAATAGGTGGATAACTGGAGACTCGTCACTTAAGGATACATACTCATTCTTCCCCTCAATCAACCTGGTCAGCTTCCATGCCCAGTCCCGACTGAAGATTGTATTAACATATACACGCACCAAAAAACTGGAGTCGCATGTCAGTAAAGGTGGTCGAAATATTAGACGACAGAGTGACGTCTGCTAAATTTAGAGCTCAGCCTATGACGGCAGCTTCTTTAAGGTAAAATTTTGACAGAATGAATTTGCTAAAAAAAAATCTTGAAAATTATATGATAGTTTTAAATACTGGCTAAAACTCACAGTTTTCTTTTTATCATTATAGTTGTACTCACTATGACACTTTCATGAAAATCATTTAATGAAATAAGGATGAACAATAATGACTCATGAAAACCGTGTTCAAAAATACAGATACATGTATAGTTATTTCCCTTTTAATGTTGACTGGCAAACATGAGATGCTAAATGGCAGGGAAGTCAACCTTTGTTGTCTGCCTTTTTTAGCTCACCTGAGCTTGCTCAGGGTGAGCTTTTAGGATCGGTGAATGTCCGTCGTCCGTCGTCCGTCGTCCGTCGTCCGTCCGGCCGAACGTCCCATACTTGGAACAACTCTAGCGGTCGGTTTTTTTGCCTCAAATCATCATCAAAACTTGGGTCAGGAGCTTTCTAAGTTGAAAAGCTCGGATGAGTTCGAAACATTGGGTCATCTCGGCTGAAAAACTAGTCACAAAGAGCTAAAAAATAGATAAACCTTGTGAAACACTCCTAGAGGTCACATTTTTGACCCAATCATCATAAAACTTGGTCAGGATTTTGTCTAGGTGATAGCTTGGATGAGTTCGAACATGGGGTCATCTATCGCGAATGAAAAAGTAGGTCACAGGAGCTATAAATAGAAAAACCTTGTGAACACTCTAGTGGTCACATTTTTGAACAAATCATCATGCAAAACTTGGTCAGAATGCTTGTCTAGTCAATTGCTTTGGATGAGTTCGAACATGGGTCATCTCTGATGAAAACTAGGTCACAGGAGCTAAAAATAGAAAACCTTGTGAAACACTCTAGTGGTCACATTTTTTTGACCCAAAATCATCATTCAAAACTTTGTCAGGATGCTTGTTTAGATAATAGCTCGGATGAGTTCGAAATATGGGTCATCTCGGATGAAAAACTAGGTCACCGGAGCTATAAATAGAAAAACCTTGTGAACACTCTAGTGGTCACATTTTTGCAATCAATCATCATCAAACTTGGTCAGGATGCTTATCTAGTTGATAGCTTGGATGAGTTCGAAACATGGGTCATCTCGGATGAAAAAGTAGGTCACCAGAGCTAAAAATAGAAAAACCTTGTTAACACTTTAGCGGTCACATTTTTGCATCAATCATCATCAAACTTGATCAAGATGCTTGTCTAGGTGATAGCTCGGATGAGTTCGAACATGGGTCATCTCGGATGAAAAACTAGGTCACAGGAGCTAAAAATAGAAAAACCTTGTTAACACTCTAGTGGTCACAATTTTGACTCAATTGTCATCAACTTGGTCAGGAAACTTGTCTAGGTCATTGCTGGGAATAAAATCGAACATGGGACATTTCGGATGAAAAACTAGGTCACAGGAGCTAAAAATAGAAAAAAATCTTGTTAACACTCTAGTGGCTACTGTTGTGATCCAAATATTCTGTTAATTGGTCTGAAAGTTTGTTTTGATGATTTCTAAGTCAAGATCGAACATGGGTCATCTTGATGAAAAACTAGGTCACACCGCCCAAATATGGAAAAACCTTGTTTAACATTCTAGTGGTCACATTTTCGACTCAATTATCATCAAACTTGGTCAGGGATGTGTTGTCTAGGTAATTGCTTGGATGAGTTCGAAATCGGCATGTGAAACTAGGTCACCGGAGCTAAAAATAGAAAAAATCTTGTTAACACTCTAGTTGCTACTGTTTTGATCCAAGTATCCTGGAAATTGGTCTGAAAGTTTGTTTGATGATTTCTAGGTCAAGTTTGAATATGTGTCACCTGGGTAAAAAACTAGGTCGCACTGCTCAAATATGGATAATCCTTGTTAACACTGTAGTGGTCACATTTTTGACTCACCTGTCATGAGACTTGGTCAGAATGCTTGTCTAGGTAATTGTTTGGATGAGTTTGATAATTCAGGTGAGCGATCTAGGGCCATCATGGCCCTCTTGTCTGTTTCATGATAACCAAAATATCACAGTCCTTTAATCTTAAAAACATTTCTTTAACCATTTGCTTGAAAAGTCATAGTGATTCCTTCTATAATTATTGATTTTGTGGTAAAAAAGTTTATCAAAGTCTAGTTGATTGTGTGTGGATTTTGTTTGTTTTTGGTTTTTTTTCTGTAGAAACAAAGAAAGAAAATGTGGTAGATTTGTGTGAAAGATGAAGTGCTGTGTATTTGAATGTACCATTAGTTTCATTCAGAATAATAACTATTTGACTATATGTGTTTTATATCATCATATATTTCTTGCTACAGTGATGTAAATAATCATATATTTCTTGCTACAGTGGTTTACTAGGTTTTACAACAACTCCTCGTCCAAAAAAGTCCAGGTACAGTGTTAGTTATAGACTTAAACTCTAATTTCTTTACCTTGTAACTTTCTATACATGCATGCAGCCTATATTGTAACACTTGCTGCCAACTTTGGTATATCAGGTACAATATAATACAAACAACAAAAATAATATCTCCTTCTTACATCTTATTTCCCCTATGATGACCCATTATTAACAGGTCCAAGTTCAATACATGTATTTTTGCAATGTAGATTTGTCATATTCTAAGATTGTAAAAATGTTTTTGATCTTTTTTTTTCAAATGTCATGTTGTCCTATTGAGCTGGGGCTACTACATTCTGTTTACACATGGGCATTTCATTCCAAACTCTTAATTATTAAGTGTTCGACTTAATAAATAAGTGACAAAGTGTGCCTGTCTATATGATTAAGAGGGGCATTTTTAAAAATATTGGAGCAATTTCATTGGTTGGGAAATGATGTTTAATACAAAACTGTGTGTTTGTCAAATGAAATAAGTAATATCCACAGCAGGACTTGAAACTTGGAATTTTCATACTCGCAAACATTTTTATCTATAATCTTATCATTGATTTTGATTCAGAATTGGAGATACATGTATACATTAAAATGTTTTTCATTGTCTTGAAAAATATAAATGTAATGGTTTGAAAAAAAAAATCTCATATTTTACATTACATTTTCTATTATTATTAAGTCAACATCTAGATCATGATTTTAAAGAATAAATGTGAAATGCTTTAGTGACTTTTCTGTTCCAAAGCCCAGAAATTTTATTAACAACTTCTTTTTTATTTCTTTGCATTATTTTCTGCACCCTGCCTTATATAACTGTACCATCATTAGCTTTTACTGAAAAAAAAATACTATTGTAAATATTCTCTGACATATTTATACACACATCTTTACAGCTCCTTCAGCTCCTTTTCTGGTAAAAAAAGGACAGCAATAATGATTTCTAATTTTACTAAATCATACATATACTTGCATTTAGTTACATCCTAAACCTGTTCACAACTTGAGAACGTATTACTCTGAATATAAAAGATTATTTGTCTTATTTCCTTTTTTTTTTTTAATATTGTACATACCGTATAACTGAAATGTTATTAATTTTGACATTTTCCTGGAGTAAATGTATAATTTAGCTGAAAAAAAATAACATTATTAAATCGGATGACTTGTATTGTTATTGTGCATTGTTTTCTATAATTGATACATTTTTTAATGGACAGTATATTTCATGGTTCATAAATTATGCCATAAAAATAATTCTTTGTGACCATATTTTGTATAAATCATACTACAGTTATTCTATACATATTGTACATTGCATTATAAAATGATCATAGACAAATTAATAAATTATATAAAAATCTTTCCATAAGTGATCACCATTAATGCCATTTTCATGCATGTAAAATCATTTTAAAAAGATTTTTGGAAAAGGAAAACTTATAGTAGCCTTTGGTTAAGATTTAAGCATGTTTTTAACTGATTATAATTCTATATGTTACAGAACTACCAAAGAGAGATTTCTTGTTGCCTTGGCAGCAGACAAGATGGCTGGTGGACCTTTTGAAAGATTTCTTGCCTGGTAAATTTCTTTGTGTAGATAAGATGAATTAAGATCTGATGAAATTAAAATAAAATAACACTTCAATTAAGAGTGCTATTTCAATGAGATTTTTGTGACCCATTGTCAACTGATGAGATGTGAGTCAAAATTGTTAAGCTCTAGGTTGGTTTTAAATATAAAGGACTTCAATTTTACTGTCAAGATTTTATTATTATTTAAAAAAGGCTTTCTTGACATTTGCATGCATAAGTTAGGTGTTTCTTGTATGAAAGTTTGAAGAATTTTTTATTGCAATAATAGACCTTCCTGATGAGTACAGACCATCTGATTTTAGACATGTCTATTCTGTGTGTGTTGTGTCTGATTTGTTTACCTATTTATTTCAGTCATCCGGACCATTCCCTGGTGTCTAACCTGTTATTCTGGCAGGATGTGACAGAGTATGGTGCAGCAGAAGATAGGGCTGCTGACCGTCTGCTACGAATGTGCAATGCTTGGGCAATATATAACAGATTCATTTCTGATGATAGTCAATTCAATATAGGTAACTTTTTTACTCTGATGTCATATACATGTATAATGTTAAGAATAAGGGAAACAATTGTATTAATTAGACAGGGTGGCCATGTGCATTATAAGATGATATATGCACAGCATGAAAAAAGAAATGCTTACACATCATATGATGTCAGATTTGACTATTAAAATACAAGTGACATCAAAAAAATTACTTACCCACTCAATGAAGTTCAATATACTTTTATCAATCCTCTTTTTATTAGCATATTAGAGTGGAAATAGTTACAAAATTGTATTAATTGTTCTTGCATTGTAGTATTATTATGCATGGTTAATTGATAAAGTGTTTTGTTTAAAAAACACTGACCTTTATAATTATAGTCCTGTGAATTTGAACTTTAAATGTGCATTACAAATGTATTCTACAACAATGAACTCAAAATTGGTATCTAAATGTAAAAAATATATATTGCAAAGAATCATCAAATGCCTGTCTCTAACAGAAACATGCATGAGAGCAAAGAATTTCATAGTATTTACACATATACATTTTGTATATTCAGTGTCAAGAAAATCTTTTCTTTTACAAAATTATGTTATTTGATTTTTTTGTGTTCTTTTTTCTTAAAGTTTATATCTGGTATGTGATTATCATTAATTATGTTAGATTTATTATAAGAATAATGCATTACATTATCATGCTTTATTTATCAGAAATATCAGCGAATGAGAGAAATGCTATACATAATGCATTAATGTCAGCGAAAGATTTTGTAGACTCTAGAGTATTCAACTGTGCCAAACAACATAGCTGTGAGAGACTGGAGGAGGCATGGATACGATACCTGAAAGAAGACCTCAAAATATTCCTAGAGTATGTATTGTATCTGTTACTGTATACCAAGGAAGTTGTATAGGGTAGAATTTTATGAAATGAATATTCTGCAAGAGTAAATTTTTTTTGCTATGTGGAGCTGACTTTGGGAGAATCATAGAAATGAAAGATATAACTTTCAAGTTTGATACATCTTAAAGTCTTTATCTAAAATGTTTCATTCCTTTACTTTTAACCCTTTCCCTCATGAGCATATTGTGAAAAATGGCCGTTTTCACTGAAAAGCCTCCTGTTACAAGTTCAACTGCTATGAAACTATGAAAAATGCTTCAATACTAATCAAACTTGGCACAAATGTTGACTGGATCATTGCCTTTGTAACGACATGCTCAGTCTTAAATTTCCTGTTACCAACGAGGGGACATCTCAAAATTGCCAAAAATTACCATTTTGCCTCGATTTTTTCCATCAAAATTTATTTCAAAGTGCTGCAACTTCACAAGGGATTGAGATAAAGTCAAAGGCTTTTCAGTGTTGGTTACACGTTACCTTATGATTGATCTGGGGTCATTTTTAGCCTCTCACAAGTCCAGAATTTTCTTGGCGAAAAACCCCCCAAACAGAAGGGGGCACATCCCCCTTCTGGCAACCCCCTGATGGATCTTTTGGATGGGGGGGGGGGGCAGCGCCAAAAAAGTGTTCACTTTTTTTAGCAACATTTCTCAAACGAAAGCATGTGTTTGGGGCCCAATTAGGACATTTTTTCACTATTTCAGGCCTAAAAAAGGGGGGTGGGGGTTGAAAGTGTGTTGTTTTGCGTATATATGAGGTAAAGGGTTAAAGCTAGGTCTATATAAGTTTTGAATATTCATATTTAATTTTTTCTTAGGATTGTATATACATTGTATATCAATATATATTTTAACAAGTAAAGACTGTAATGTTGGAATATGTTTCTATAAATTGATTTACATGTATATAATTATATTTGCATGATTTTTGTTCAACTGTTTTTGTACTTTTATGTATTGAACATTTATAATAGTATATTAATATTTTCCATTTCATTTGGTTTTATTTGAATGTATTTGCAGTTGTCATGTAAGACTTGGAGGACCTAGCCCACCTGGTACAGCCGCCATAGAGATTATATTAACAAATGATGAAGTTCTCATCCGTAGACCGAGACCATGGCAGAAAAAGTGAGCAGTTTCATGGTTGTTTTATGGCTCAAACAATGAATTCATACTCTCTATGCAATAGTGATTGTTTTAGGAAAAGTTTTACAGTAAATCCTGATAAAGGTTAATGGCAGTAATTTTGATTTGACCTTGAGAAGGTCAAGGACTTAGATAACAGCGTGGTAGAGGAAAAAATGGATTCTGCATATACAAATTATATAAAACAATTGACTTTTTGCTTGTTATAAAAAATGCTGTTAGATTCTTTTACTGTCTTTTCTGAAAGTCAAACCAGTCTTTAAGTAGAACATGTTTTTTCTACTATAACAGTTTCCGCAAGTTGACAATTGTTATCAATTTGAATTTTGAATTAAGCCATCATCTTTGTATACAAATTCAATAGTTGCTTCAGATTTAAAGATAACTTTTACACTAGCAAACAGAAATATTTTTTTATTGTTTACAACAATCAGAAAGATTGTTATACTTAATGACACATTTTTAGTAAAGATCAAAATGTTAGATACTATCATGTGTTAAAATCAGTCTTATAAAACAATTTTACAGGATAGGTACAACAGAATCTGAGAGAGCCAGACGTGCGAAGCCTGGAATCTCTTTGGAAGATATGGATGAAGAAGAATTGGCCGCCCTGCGTGCCAAACGTCGGGAAGCTCGGAAAGAGATGGAACGTGAGAGAAGGAAGGCAGTGAAGGCGGCGTATAAACGTCTTCGTGATGCCAAGAAGAAACCTGAAGATGTAAGAAAACTTTGTGATTTTCCTTTTCTTTCTTTTTTTCTTCTATTTGAAAAGAGAATCCAGTATATCAAGTTTATTATAGAACAGATTTTATCAGATTTGCTATGTTAGATAGTAAAAAGTAGTATTTTTTTGTCTTTTTATTCCCCAAGCAATTTTTGAATACATTTTTTCACACAGTAAATTACTAATTGCAGCACTGTAAAGGGATTTTTTTGTTCAGATTATGTCACACATTAATTCTTACAATATACATTTATAGTCAGGCACTCCTTCCAGTTTAACAGTAAGTGGTCTCACAGCTTCCCTTGCTTACCATATACATATATCATATGAATATTCATGTATATTCATTTTTTAATTTGTTTGGTGCCTTCTATAAATATAATGTTTGCAAGTTCATCTGCTTCATCAGTCTGCACATCTCAATGAAAGCTTTGTTTTTATTCCCTCACATCAATAGATAGATTTTGGTGGATATTGCTCTTGTCCTGTCGTGTCTGTCTTCTAGGACATGACATTTTCATGCATTTAAGTAAAGCCTTCATATTTTTCTCTCACCTCATGTACCTTTTAATGAAACCACTTAGCTCAATAGAAAGAGCATCAGATTAGAAATCCAGGGATGACAAGTTCAATTCTAGGGCAAGGTGAAATTTATTTGTGACAAATGATCTTATACATAGATTATATATTATAGTCATTTGTCTCACATTGCTCTTTCAAAAATTATTTCAGATAAATAGACTGTTACTGGCTGAAAATGTTTTGTTACTGGTTAATTATTAAGGAAAGCTGGTTTGGTGGACCAAAATGTATATTAAATTGGCATAAAAAAGCAGAAAAATAAGTTATTAAACATCTAAATGAGACCTTCCTTCTTAATTGATTGCAGTATGACCTTGACCCCTAGATTACAAAGACCGTAAAGCTTAATTTTTCAAAATAAAGGAAATTATATCATTACTTTTGTCTATATCATCTATATATCTGTTGGTATCAGATTTGATATGGGAGCATTTGTGTTTTATATATGCATGTTTATATCAGTTTTTGAATTATTTTGCTATCTTAAGTTGAAGTTTAATTGTTCTCTGTTGTTTCCTTTTGATTTATTTTTGAAAAAAACAAACAAAAAAAACCACACACGCACAAAAAAACCCCAAACAATGTGTATGTGTACAAAGTTCTTATATGGGTAAAGGTGATATTAGCTAGGATGAAACACTTTAGAAATTCTTAAATGAGTAGATTTGTTGGTTTGTATGAAAACATTTGATTCCTTCGCTTGGCTCCTTCCCGCACCCTACAGTTGTTCAAGACTAGTACACGGAGACTATTGGGCACAGCTAATGTGCACGCTTCCTATTGGAGCAATTTAAAGATAAATTTTCTTGACAAGATCAAGATTAAGTTTATATTTAGTTATGATAATATAAATTTTTTTCCTTATAATAATGTTTTAAATACTGCTAATGAAGTCATGATGATATATAAGAAATTTGTTTATTTCTATTTTTCTGACGGTTTTTAACTTTGTCAGATTTAAGCTCTTTTATGAATTACAAATCTTTGTAGCAAAACTTTGTCAAACCAATTTCCTGACCTTATTTCTTATGAATTGTGAACAAGAAATATTTAAATTATATGTTTTGGCCTACCATAAGAAGTTACTATTTATTTTAATCATTGAATTATTGCTCAACTTAGAAAAAGGAAGGTTCACCTACAGACGAATCACCAGTACAAACTGAGGAAGTAAGTTACCATGGCAACATAGAAACATGTTGTTTCCATGGCAACATAACTTTGTAACCATGGCAATATCTTATACTAGCAGCATACTAGTTTATTCTGCATTATTACTGCATAATGATTAATTGACTTGTAACTGATGTAATTAATCTAATGCACCTTTCAATGAGGTTAGTTATACATAAATTCCTGCATTTGATTGCTTTCTCAGCCTATTAAAGTATAGAGTAAATGCTGTTAAAAATACAGTTCATAGCATGTTGCAGCTATGATTCATAGCATATAACATTTATGGTCTATAGCACACTACATAGCATTCATAGCATACTGCATAGTTCATAAAATATTAAACATATGGTTCAGCATAGTATATTGCATTTATAAAAAAATTGCATCAACTGTGCATAAGCTAGCATATAAAATTTATGGCTCAAAGCATACTGCATATACATATGGTTATTTTATAGCATATTACATATGTGGTTAATAGCATATTATACATATGGTTTAGCATATTATGTTGCATTTATAAAATGAACAGTTCATAGCATATTACATCTATAGTTACTCTTAAAATTCTTAAGTTAAATGTTGCATTTTATCCTGTAATATATCATAAAACTTCCATATTCTTAGCTGTTAATAAAGATAATAAAAATCATGCCCATTGAAAGGTGCAAACTTAATGCAAAATTAAAAGCATGACTGCACTAATGAAATTAAAAAAATGATTTTTTTTTATTTCAGTTAACAATATGAATATTTAATGCCAAATATTAAATGTGTGTTTCTGGTTATTAAGCTTCAGAAATTAAATGGGCTGGTTAACAGTTCTTGAATTGATTTAATTGAATTTAAAAAAAAATTTGAATGAAAGCAAACAACAATTGTTATTCTTGATAATTTTCTCTCAATTTAGTTCTCAAGTGTTGACAAAAATGTGGTATTAGAAAAAAACATGGTTTATTGCTCTATAAAATGAAAAGAATATTTGTCGTAATTTTCTTCTGATATTGATTTCAAGGTAACTTGTATCGATTTCTTACTGTTTGAAAAGCATAATACATCTTGTTTATGAATAAAAAAGTTAACTTATTTATAATTTTGAATTTAAGTGTAAGTGAAAGCTAATACCTTCTATTGCTAACTATGCAGAATTTGAACTGTTTAAAACTATTTTAAAAGTTTAAATACTAACGGTTAATTTGAATAACATACAGTATAAAGCCTCCTTAGATCACAGGGATATATACTGGCTGGCCTAGCTCTATTCTAGTGGCACCTTTTTTTTTACTATTGCTATAAGCAGCGAATGGGACAATTTTTTAACTTATAACATTTTTGTTGAGAATGAAGAAACACATATTTAAATATTTGGCCTATCTTTATTAGTGCTAGTATATTTTTTCAGCTATATATTCCTATAATTTCTGTTTATTATAGAAAAAGGTAAACTATTCAAACAGAGGTAACCTGGCTAGGCTTTAATGTGCTTGCAACATATTGTCGGCTAGGAAATATATATGTTTAATTCCCATAATATATGCTTCCATTCCAACATATTGTCAGCTAGGAAATTTACATGTCTAATTCCCATGATAATATGCTTTCATCATCTTGTGGTGCTGGGAAATATATGTATATTTATGTTTAATACCTTTAAGAAATTAAAGATATAATTCTCTGAATTCAATGTATATGTAAACCTCCAATTAGTATGTGACCAGGTATCTCAAAATCTGTCAACCATATGTAGACTGTTATATAATTTTAACAATGTTACCTACCTGTATGTATATGACCTTGCAGAAGGACTGTTACTAATACTCTCTGCTACATGTAGTTGGTAATGCATTTGTGAATTTAAATGTTTTATTTGAAGTCAATCTATTGGCTGCAGCTATATGTGGTAAAATTTCTCGCAAATTTTCAAAATAAAAAAAAATGATACAGGAACTCTACTTAGGTGTAAAAGAACACTATTGAGGTCCAAAAGAATAAAAACACAAAATTTTAATTTAATATAGATCAGCAGGGGCACTTAAAAACACTAAGTTATGCAAAAGGTAATTAAGAAATATACAATTTACTCAGAAATAAATTGAAAATCTTATTTTAGCGCATTCCTAAACCTATTTAAGTTAATTTTGGGTTATTTGTTGTAACAATTAGAATTAATTTTCTGAAAAAAAATGAAAGTGAATGATCTGAAATTTATAAGAAAAATATAAGTTATAAGTTTTATTTTGAATAATTTTGGTCAATCTTTATCAAGAATATCTATGCCTACATACATGTCAAGTGTTGTTTAAATGCATTTGGTAATTAATCTTAAATCTTTGAAAAAGGGTCCCTGAAGTGAAGCATGCATAAAATTAATAAGAAACCTGCCCTAGCGCCATCTACTGGCTTTTATAGTCCAGTTGGGCCTTAAATCAAATGGAACATTTATTGCGAAATATTATTTCCAGTCCCGTCATGTCAAAAACCTCAGTGGAGTCCCTTAAATGCATGACAATGTTTTTCTTGTAACTTTTCTTATTTAAGCAATTAAGTTGTTCTTTTGTAACAATAATTTTCCATCTTGTTTTATTTTACAAGTATCATTTCTGTACTTCTTGAACAAAACATGATGAAATTGTAAAATGTAAGAAATAGTTTCAATTGTTGCCACTGCAACAAAACCAATTTAGATGACATTCAAAATGTGCATGTTATTGCTGATTTGTTTGTGAAGGTGGCAAATACCTGCTATAAAGTTTATGAATTGCATGTGTAATGGGCGGATAACTGCTTGTGTAAGTTGTTGCTGAATTGCATGTATAAAGGGCAGACAACTGTTATATTAATGAATAAATATGCATGTTTTGGCTTTGCTGTATGCTACACAGTACAGAAGTGTAATCAGGTGTTAGAATTCTATATGGCATTCTTTATTATGTAAAGCTTAAAATTTGTTTTAATTTTTTTTTCCAATAAATATTTTAAGAACTTTTAATATATTTGCAAATGTGTGATTTAAGGTGGATGTTAAAGCATATGTTTATTATAAAAACTTGGTAAGTACAAAACATATGGAGAAAATGTGGTAAAAATGTTTCTTATTGGTACTTTGTTGCTAGAGGATTTTTTTGTAATAATTTATCTGGTTATTGTCATCATTAGCGTACCATCAAGAGGAGGGTTTTAAAAAAGCGAGATAATGTAATTATTATAGACTGATTTACCCTGTAGAAATGATTAAAATTAGAAAATTTAATTTTTATGATTATGTAAACAACATAGATTGTTGTGAAGATTTATTATGTTTTTATTTTTTGGATTTATTTTTGTTTAGAGGCTGTATTGTATTTATTTGTTTGTTATTTGTAGCATATTTTAAAGTTTATTTAAACTTTCTGCAAAAATAACATCCTGGATGATAAGTTTTATCTTGGTAAAGATTAGAATCTGATTTTATGCCAGACCCTTAAATAATTGTGTTTTCTTCATCAGTTTTTTTATATAACAAAATTAAAAAGAGGACATGTAAAATGCATTTATTCTGTTACATTTAGACTGGTTTTGAAAATACACCTTTGTTTACATGACTTTATGTAAATTTCCAGACACCATCATATGTAAATTTTCAGACACCATCATTCTGATTCTAAGTATCCAAAATTCAAGATTTTACAATTCACTAAATACATATAAATACAAATAGATATGTCAATAAGGAGGTGTCTCTGTATAATGTAAAGAATGGAATTGCTTGCCTAACTAAACATAACATCTGTACTTCTACTGACTAAGTTCTAGCTCTACTAAGTTCAAGCTCTACTAAATTTTCTAGTTCTATTGAGTTCTTGTTCTACCAAGTTCAATATCTTATAAGTTCTGAGTTCTAGCTCTTATGAGTTTTACTTTTACTAAGTTCCAGCTGGACTGAGTTCTAGCTCTACTAAATTTTCTAGCTCAACAGAGTTAAAGCTTTTCTAAGTTTTGATTCAAGCCTTGAATTTGAGTTTTAGGTCTATTTAGTTATACTCAAAAACTTTTACTACATTTTTTAAAATCAAGGGAATGGTTTACCCTTTTTATGGGTCTGGTTATTTTTTTTATATTTATTAAAAGTTTTTATATTTTTAAAAATTGATTTTTCTTTTTCCCCTTTTTTTTTGTAAAAAATAAATGATTATCTTTAAATTTTTTATAAAGATTTTTTTTATAAAAACGGTTTTTTTTTAGCATGTCACAAATGCAGGGGGGACTTTGTGATCGCTTTTCGTCCGGCGTCCGTCCCGCGTCCGTCCGGCGTCCGTCCGTCCGTAAACTTTTGCTTTAAATGACATCTCCTTATAAACCACTGAGCCAATTTCATCCAAACTTCACAGGAATGTTCCTTTGGTGGTCACCTTTAAATATTGTTCAAAGAATTTAATTCCATGCAGAACTCTGGTTGCCATGGCAACCGAAAGAAAAATCTTTAAATATCTTCTTTTAAAGAACTGTAAGAGCTAGAGCTTAGATATTTGGCATGAAACATCTTCTAAAGAGTGTCTACCAAGTTTGTTTAAAATAAAAGCCCTGGGGTCAAAATTGGCCCCGCCCAGGGGGGTCATTGATTTTCCCTATATGCATATAGTAAAAACTTAAAAAATCTTCTTTTTAAAGAACTGTAAGAGCTAGAGGTTAGATATTTGGCATGAAACATCTTCTAGTGAATGTCTACCAAGTTTGTTCAAATAAAAGCCCTGGGGTCAAAATTGGCCCCGCCCTGGGGGGTCATTGATTTTCCCTATATGCATATAGTAAAAACTTAAAAAATCTTCTTTTAAAGAACCCAAAGAGCTAGAGCTAAGATATTTAGCATGAAACATCTTCTAATGAGTGTCTACCAAGTTTGTTCAAATAAAAGCCCTGAGGTCAAAATTGGCCCTGCCCCAGGGGGTCATAGATTTTCCCTATATGCATATAGTAAAAACTTAAAAATTCTTCTTTTAAAGAACCCAAAGAGCTAGAGCTAAGATATTTGGCATGAAACATCTTCTAGTGAGTGTCTACCAAGTTTGTTCAAATAAAAGCCCTGGGGTCAAAATTGGCCGCCCTGGGGGGTCATTGATTTTTCCTATATGCATATAGTAAAAACTTAAAAAATCTTCTTTTAAAGAACCGTAAGAGCTAGAGCTTAGATATTTGGCATGAAACATCTTCTTGTGAATGTCTACCAAGTTTGTTCAAATAAAAGCCCTGGGGTCAAAATTGGCCCCAACCCAGGGGGTCATTGATTTTCCCTATATGCATATAGTAAAAAACTTAAAAAACTTCTTTTAAAGAACCCAAAGAGCTAGAGCTAAGATATTTAGCATGAAACATGTTCTAATAGGTGTCTACCAAGTATGTTCAAATAAAAGCCCAGGGGTCAAAACTGGCCCCGCCCCGGGGGTCAATGATTTTCCTTATATGTGTATAGCAAAAACTTAAAAATCTTCTTTGAAAAAACCCAAATAGCTTTAGTTTAGATATTAAGCATGAAACATCTATAAGTAATATCTACAAATTAAAGCCCGGGGGTCAAAACTGGCCCTGCCCCAGGGGTGTCATTGTTTTTAACTATATGTGTATAGTAAAAACTTAAAAAATCTTCTTTTAAAAAACCCAATGAGCTAGAACTTAGATGTTTAGCATGAAACATCTTCTTATGGGTGTCTACCAAGTCTGTTCAAAAAAACAAATAAAAGCCCTTGGGTAAAAATTGGCCGGGGGGGGGGGGGGGGGGGGGGGGCTATATACAGGTGAGCGACCTCAGGGCCATCATGGCCCTCTTGTTATTTTAAACAGTATTAAACAGTAAAATAAATATTGATACTTGCAAATTTTTTTAAACCGAAGAAATTTTTTAACAGAAATAAACTTTGCTGCTGATGATTTTTAAGTACAAATTTCTAAAAATTAAGAAACAGCCTGAACGGTGTTCTAGAGATAAATAGATAGAGCTGATATTTTACCAACTTGAAATATTTTATTGTTGTTGTTGTAGAAAAAAGATGATGACATGGATTTTGATGAAAGTGAGAAAAAGTCTGCCCGTCCCCCACCACCCTTCCATGAGATGATTAGCAATAAGGCGTAAGTTAACTGCCTTTTTTCATGTATCAAACATTCTATGAAAAAAAAATTAACCCAAAAATTCAAGTTGTAAATGATTAAGTAAACATTTGTCTGAGATAACTTAAAATCGTGATATTGTCATGAGTTTTATTGTAGCAAAAGTTACATGCAGGTAGTCTGGCATTTGATTAAAGGAGTATAATCAAGGATTGTTGTACTTCATGTACATGTAGTTTGCTGGGGATAGTTTCATTGAAAACACTTTCTTATTTTGTGTGGCTGATAAGACATTTTATTTTTAGTTTATAAATTGACAGTTAACCCCAAGCACCATAATTATATAGCTTTAAAAAGTCTGTTTACTTGGAATTTTCTTAACCTTGATACTGCTTTTGGCAACAAATTCTACCAAAGAGACCAGTGCAGAGGGCATGTTTGTATCTGATCATAGTATTCACTGTTTGCTATTCAGTCAGTATATTTTTTTGAAGTTTTCCCTAAAATATGATTAATGGTTTTATCCAGATTGAATGATGCACCAGTCCATTTAAGATTGGTAAGGTTTTCATACCATGCTATTATCATAACAAATTAACATGAAGAACTAAACTAGAGTTATTTTACATTACAGAATCATGTCAAACTTCAAGAAGCACCTTGTAGAGCAGGAAGAGAAAGAATGTTTAAACATGGTTGGATTGTTTACAGATATAGAAACCTTTCTCTCATATGGTACAAATAAAAAGGAAATGCAGCGAAGAGAACAACATGCAAACTTTATTCAAAAGTAAGAATTGTGTACCTTGATCTTTAAAACCCAGCTAAAAGTTTTGCAATAGAATTGTCTGGATTTTAAATTCGAAACTTTCCATTGCAGATTTTAGTAAAAGCTGAATTTATTTGTGTGTTTGTAAACCCTTAATCTGCTGGAACAAAAAGTGATTAGCCTTTGTCACCAGTGCAAAAGTGGTTATGGTGTAAATTGAGAAAGTAATGAGATGGAATATGAAAATATCATGGTTTATTTAAAACTGAAGTATAGAATGTGAAAAAAGATGCAGGTAATCAAGGTATCTTTGATTTATTAGGAGGCTGTAATTCATGTAAGTTTTGTTCAATTTACACTTAGCAACAGATATGTTGTATATTGCTTGCAAATTGAATTAAAGTAAAGGTCTTAGGGATAATACTTGACAAATTGTCAAAGTATGAAAAAACATTTACAGATTATGCTGTATATAGAATCTGGGATACATCAAAACTGCACTGCTGCCTCAGCTGTTAGAAAGTACTGGCAACTGTTAGTCACAGATTTTAAATCATATGACCATCAGTGCCAAGAGATGTTGATTTTTTTAATGTAAGGAGACTAGTATCCACCTAAAAACTTATAGAAGGTTGAAAACTCTATTTCTCAGTGCCTGAAAAATGTGCAACCAGATGAAGACAATCCCTTGTTGCATTTCTTTGAATGGCCAAATATTTATAATGCTCTAGAAGGTACATGTAACATGCTGAGATGTTATAAAAACACTTAAATTTATCATTTTGCTTTTATCTTTCTACATTCTAAGAATTAAACATTTTCTTGACAGAACTTATTTGGACTCTCATGGTAAGAAGAGGGTTGAGTTGTCAGACAAGTTAAAGAGTAAGGTACATGACAAAGAGAGACCAAAGACACCTGTGATCAAAGAAATACAACATAGTCTACATTCTAAGATAGATGAACATTTTAAATCATATCTAGTGGTAAGTTTTGTTAATATCATCATTTTACGGCAATATTATTGGTATATAATTGCCTTTCAAAGGTTGTTTGCATTAATTCCTAATAATTAAAAGACTAAGGTCAAGAGTGTGTAAATTAACTGTATATGCCAAGGTGATAAGTAGGACTCCTGTGTAATTGTGCTTTACACCTTTCCACATAAAAAACACTAGAATCCTCATTTTAAATAGACATGTATAATTTTTCGATTATGATATATAAATTATGTAAGTATGTGTATTTCAGAATAAAGCCGAGGAACAGGGTATTGAACCTGGTGATCTTGTAAAACTGTCTCAAGCCGAGCTTTCTATGCGACTAGGAACTGATGCCTCCATGGGAACCTGGCGAAAAACCCGCGGGAAAGGAAAGGTGAAAAATATTACATTTTATATCTACATATTATTATTCATTCAAATATATGTAAAAGTAGTGGTACATGTATTTGATTTCTTATTTTATATTTATTAGGACATCAGGTTACCTAACTGTTACGCTTAGTTTGTTTTGTTTTTGGTACTATATACATCTAAATTGATTTTGGTTTGAAGGAGATTAGTATTTTCTATCTTTAACAATAGAGTTTGCAAGATTCAAGGGAATATGACATTAATTGAAAGGTTTATGTCATTGATGTTATAATCATTTGAAAAATAAACAATGAATAACATGTTTTTAGTTTTAAAAGAATTTTGAAATTTGCCATTCTTTCAGATTCTGTTCTTTTAAATGTTAATTTCTTTAAATCAAAGCATTTTAACAATTTGTATTACCTTTAATACCTATGTTATCCATATTGTTCTTTTTTGTGCCCCCACTTTAGTGGCGGGCATTTAGATTTACCCTTGTCCTTCCGTCCATCCGTCCATCCTTCCGTTCGTCCGTTCACTTTTGTGTTGCACGTAACTCTAAAATTATTTGACCTAGAGTCATGAAACTTTACAGGAATGTTGATCAGCATGTGTAGTTGTGCACCTGGGTATTTTCGTCTGGATATTTTTAGTTTTTTTTAGAGTTATTGCCCTTGTCTTAGTAAAATTTTGCAATTTTTAACTTGTGTCACATGTAACTCAAAAAGTTTTTGACCTAGAGTCATGAAATTTTACAGGAATGTTGATCAGCATGTGTAGTTGTGCAACTGGGTATTTTCGTCTGGATATTTTTAGCATTTACAGAGTTATTGCCCTTGATTTAGTAAAATTTTGCTATTTTCAACTTGTGTCGCATAAAGGATTTGACATAGAGTCATGAAACTTTACAGGAATGTTGATCAGCATGTGTTGTTGTGCACCTGGGTATTTTCATGTGAATATTTTAGTATTTTTAGAGTTATTGCCCTTGACTTAGTAAATTTGTTGTAATTTTCAACTTGTGTCGCATGTAACTCAAAAAGGATTTGACATAGAGTCATTAAACCTTATGGGAAAGTTGCTTTGCATATTAGGTTTTGCACCTGGGGTTTCGCTTGTGGATTAATCCAGTATTTGTAGAGCTATTTCCCTTGACTTAGTAAAAACTGTTTCATTATGTTGTTATTTTTTCCTTGAGTGTTTGAGTTAGAATCAACCAACTTTACAGGAATAATGATCAACATCACTAAAATGCAGGAATAATGATTCACATCACTGTGAAGCTATGCACCTGGGACTTTGCATTTTTTTCAGTTTTGTTAAGAGTTATTGCCCTTGACTTACAGAAGTATAAATTTACAATTTTCAACTTGTTCATGCATAGCTCAAAAAGTATTTCACTTGTAGGCCTGAAAGTTTACAAGAATGTTGGTCAGCATGTGTACTTATGCACCTTGGGGTTTGCTTGTGGATTTATTCAGTATTTGTAAAGTTCTTGCCCTTTACTTAGTAAAAGATTTTTAGTTTTCAAAAAATATTTGACCTAGAGTCATAAAATTGACAGAACAGTGGCGCGGTGGGGGCACCCGTGTCCTATGGACACATTTCTAGTTTATCATAATGTATTTATTTAATGAAAAAAAGATTCTACAAGGCTTAAATTTTACTTGTACTCAAAATGCATTTCTGTGTGAAAAATGATTTTACCCACTCAATTTACATGTGCCAATAATGCTTTTATGTCCTGAAAATAGTTATTTACCCATCATGCAATTATGTGCTGAGAATATTTGTTTTACCAATAAAACGTCTATCTGCTGAAAGAATTTTACCAATAATACATTTATGAGCTAAAAGTTGTGTTTTTTTTTTAACCCAGATTGCATAATTATTGTAAGTGCAGAAAACAGCTTTTAGTATTTTTTCCATTGATTTATGTTGAGAATATTTTACATAATACAGTTATGTGCTTAAATTAGTATTTTTACCCATAATGCATTTATGTGCTGTAAGTATTTTATTACCCATAATACATTTTTACGACTTAACATACAGGACGGAGATATGGAGAGGGAATATTCACACCCCTCTGTCAGAATAACTATAAGTAAATTAGATAAAAAGTCTCGTAGAGTACATTTTGAAAAGGAAGGTACTGACGTGTCCATGTATTCGGAGGCGACAAATTACACGTACCTGTCAACATCGCAGGTATACATGAGTGATGCATGTTGGTAGTAATGGAGACCAGCGACCTAAACGCTTCATGTTTTTAACAAAATCTAACACTAGCATTGATATAAATAAATGGAAATGAAATAGATGATAAAATCGGAAGATTTGTAAACTAGCTGTGTGGTAAATTATATGAGATTTTATAGTAGTAATTGTTTGTGGTTTGAGATTTACTAACAAATGTTTTAACAGTAGCTGTATTATAAACTGATTCACTTATTATATAACATAGATTTATTGTACATAATTATAACAAAGCCTACAGAGTGTTTGATAAATTCAAGTAACTTAAGTGTGAAATAAAAGTAACTTAGTGTGAAATTCATTAAGTAACTTAGTGTGAAATTAAAGTAACTTAAGTGTGAAATAAAAGTAACTTAAGAGTGAAATTCAAGTAACTGAAGTGTGAAATTAAAGTAATAACTTAATGTTGAGATTCAAGTAACTAAAGTGTGAAATTCAAGTAACTAAAGAGTGACATTGGTAGTTTCATTATTAACTTGGGTGAAATAATTTTTTTTTTAAGACAAAAAAGAACTGTTTTTATTTTGATGTCAGTACAATAGAAAGAGATATTATGGTACTCAAAATACTAAAATCTTGTTTTTTTTAATTGGTGAATAATTAAAGTAATTATGCAAAAAAGTAAACATATTGTCACTCTACTGTGGCAATATCAAACTTCATACTTGTGTCAAGTGTAAATGATATTTAATTAAATATCATATTCTATATAGAACAGTAGAAAGCAAAATTTTTGTATGGATTTAGATCTATCCTATGATAAGGAAACAGGCTATTTTAAATGACTCACTGTAAACTTTGATTGTCATATCTATACATGTATATAAAACTAGGATGAGTCCAGCTCTTCAACCCCTAGGGGCCCGGGCAGCTCCCAGATGTATAGACGCCCTAAACGGGCTCGGTTCCACAATAAGGTATCGTCTACATGTATATGTATGGTGTTATGACGTTTATTTTGATGAACAAACACTCACAGTTTTCTGTACTGGTATTTTTACTGCTTTGCCTCACACTTGTTTATATTTCGCATGGCTTATTGTATGCTTGGTATAGCTCAGTCTTGACTCAGAGTTATAAAACTAGGACTGGAGACTCAGTCTGAACACTGATGACTATCTTTAGTTCCTGTAAAACCTTGCCTTGATGAATATAATTATTATGTACTTGAGTTGTTCTTCTTTAAATTCAGAACCTGTCATTTATTAAATGATACAAGTGGAACAAACAGGATAAATTTTATGGTTTAGTTAATGTTGTTTACCAATGTTTGGACTCTTACAAGTCATCATCAGGGTCACACCAAACAAAAAAACAAAAAAATTATTGCAGCCATCAGTGTAGAGATTGGTCAAATTAAGTAATATGGATGTTCATAAGTATGATACCATTGTTTCTAATAGCCAACCAGCAAAATCTGTTGAAAAGCTGGGATTTCAGACTGGTTTAAAGTCTCCAGTTTTACTAGTCTGGATTACCTGCCCCTGTTACTTCTAATAATCGTAGAATAGTAGGGGTGGAACCAGACTACTGTTTTACAGCCAAGATTTCAGAATGGTTTCCAGTTTTCAGTTTTATGACATTGAGTAAACATTCAGGGGTCCCTGGTAGAATAGATACAGGTGATGAAATGTTAAACAGAATGGATGATGGTTTATATATGTTTTTATATACAGCACAATAATTATTGTATATGTATATGTAATTTGTTGTGTCACTTTTGTTTCATAATATGCCTGTCTTTTATCAATTGTTGATAACCATTTATGTATGATTAATCATTTTAGGAATATTTTACACATTTTTTCATTGTTTTCTGAGAAATTGCATTACATGTATTTTTATTATATCCTTTTATAAATTTTTATTGTATTTTTACCTTATCTGAAGTGAGATGGGGGCAAGGGGATGTTTCATGAATTATGTGTGTTCACATCTGCAGGCAATGTCATATTAGATAGCAAACTTTATATTCCAGTTGAAACTTTCCCTCTCTCTTCAGCTTCTATTTGATATAGTCATATTCTCTAATTTAACTTTATCTTATAAGCAAAATTAGTCACCCTGCTTCCCATCTTTGTCTCATTGTTTAAATTCATTAAGAAAACATATATATGCATCTTAAATGTTATATTAAAGTACTGACTAAAGAAAATGAAGCCTGGTTTAAGCCAGTTGTAAAAGCCTATGGCAAATGGCAAAAAAATCTTTGGTGAATTGTCTGAAATAAAATTGTCATGAACCACATGTACAGTGCATGCCACACCATTCTTTATTTATCACCTTATAAATATATACTCTCAAATTGCACCCTGTTACATTGAATTATGTACTGTAAATTTTTTTATTATCAAACATGTATACAATTGTCATGCAGAACTACCATAAACATGTATGGTTATTTATTCAAACATTTAATAAATTATTACCTTTTTATTTTTTTGAATTTATTTTTCTTTCTGTATTTTTAAAAGAAAATAATTTATTTGCATTGATTGTTTCTTTTTATTTATTACCATTTTGTGGTTTTCTTTCTTCAACTTTGTTTTTGGTTATGGGTTGTTACTATGAAAGTTGTTTAACACATATAAGTTATGAGTCAGCTTTTAGTCTATACTCAGTAAGCACTGTTGAATGCCTTTTGTTTTCATTCAATTTGTTTCCTTCTCTTAAGTAGGATGAAATTTGTTCTATTGATATAAAAGTATAGTGCTACCAGTATAGCGTCAGGCCTATATGAACATTCATGTAGTCTGACCAGGTCCCATACTGTTGAATGACCAACTATGAAACTTTCCTTTCCATGATAATATCATATAATTATGTAGATGTATTACCACTTGGTTCCAAAATGGAAGTTGTACAAATTGATGGAAGTTGTACATATGACAGAAGTTGTACAATATGATAAAAGTTGTACATATTGATGGAAGTTGTACATATTGATGGAAGTTGTACATATGACAGAAAGTTGTACAATATGATAAAAGTTGTACATATTGATGGAAGTTGTACATATTGCTGGAAGTTGTACATATTGAGGAAGTGTAGGAGATTTAGGTTAGGAACTGTGTCTGAGAATGTTGGTACAAACAAGACAAAATCATTGAAAATGTCAGGTTGACATCTTATGATTGGATTTTTTTTTTTTAAATATTCTAATGACTTAACACAAAATGTTTAAATGTTTCCAGTGCCTTAGAAATAATAATGCTTGTAAAACTGTTGTTGAAGTAAATTTATTTCCCTTCTCTATCTCTATATTCAATAAGAATTATGGTCTATCAAATACCTGTTATAATGCCATACCTTTCAGGTATGTTTGATTTTTTTCACATAAACATTTACTTGTATAGCTGGACTAATGAATGTCATTGGTATTATAAAGTAACCACCTATGCTATATGAGCCATGTCTAGACAAAACCAACATAATGGGTTTGCGACTAGCATGGATCCAGACCAGCCTGCGCATTTGGGCAGTCTGATCAGGATCCATGCTGTTCGCTATCAGTTTCTCTACTTATAATAGGGTTTGTAAGCGAACAGCATGGATCCTGATCAGACTGCGCAGATGCACAGGCTGGTCTGGATCCATGCTGGTCGCAAACCCATTATATTGGTTTTGTCGTGACATGTATGTGTTCATGTATATATATGTATTTCCCACAGACATCTGTGGTCAGCCTCCACTGGTAATAGCTGGAAAGTCACCATTCAATATGACCATCACATGGCCAGTGTGATTTGAAACACAGGCAATATACAATATGCATGTTTTCTCACAAATCAGACTAAAATGTTCAAAATTTCTGCTGTAGCATAGGAAAAAAAGAACTGATATGTGCATGATTGTACTTTATGTATTGTTTTTAATATTTATTGGTTATTTTATTTGCAATGAATAATACTGCATGCTCTGTTTATGTAAATGATAATGTAACAAATGAATGTGATGAATGTAACATTACTGTTGTTATATTGTTGGAACTTATTTTATTCATTTATAAAATTAAAATTTTCAATGTTTCTTAAGAGATAAGTAGGTTGTTGGGTGAAACTTGTAAAGCTGTTGTAAGTAAAATTGTACATCTTAATAATTGTATTGTTTTTGACATTACATACATATAAATGATATTATCTGGTATAAAGAGTGCAACTTTTTTTCCTATCATCAACTTTTCAGATGACTTAGGACAAACCAAACAATTTTGGATTTTCATTTTTACCTCAGTTCCTTTAACCCTCTAATATTCAAACATATCCTATATAACAACTTAACTATAACATAAATATATCAAGTGTCTTCCTGATAATTGGCCCAGACGCAAAATTTGCTTAAGTCTTTAAAATGAAAATAAGAAAAGTTTTGTTCTTTTTGTAGACTGGACGAGCACAACCCCATAAAGATGACCGAGAGGAGTTTTACAAATCGCTCAAAACATGTGCCGCTGGAAAAATGTCATTACAGATGCTCTATTTCTATAAATATCTGCTCAAACACGCGGAGGAGGACAATATGCCTCTCATTGACAAAGATCTGTTCTTCTATATTGAAGTCCAAAAATTCAAGGTTTGAGTCTTTATATTTACAAGTGCTACAACACATAAATGCATTTTTGTTTTCTTTCTTTTTCCATTTGTTACCACATTTGATTCTGAAGTATTTTGCTATGTTTTTGTAATCATAACATTATTATAAAGGAAAAAAAAAGGATAGCAAATTTGAAATGATCAGGCATTTGTAAATTGTATTGATTTACATACTTTAATTTTAGAAATGCAGGGGTCAACTGGTTAAGATCGTTGACTTCAAACTATTTGTCCCTCACTGCTTTGTGGTTGGAATCACAAGAGGGATTTCTTTCTGAATTCTTTCTTGCGAGGATATTATCTAGCTAGCTTACGGAACATCGCTAGTCCTACTCTGGCGTTAACACCATGTACCGACTCATACCTGAAATAATGCACAGATGGGCACCTCAGGTCTACCTCTGGCCAGTAAAGCTGGAAAGTTGACATTTGACCATTAAACTGTCAAGGTGACTTAAATCCGAACAACAAAAAAAAAGATTTTATGAATACAAGAGTTTACACAAACATCCTAGTAATTCTAGTTTTGCAATTGCTCAAT